TGGCCCGTGTGGCCGTCAGAAGAGTTCCGCACCCGTCGACGTGTGACCGACTTCCCACCGGCAGAGGCGCGGGAGGACATCTGCCGCTTTGGCGTACACCTGGTGCCCACCGGCCACCCGGGGAGCTCCACTGAGTACACCGAGCTGCGGCTGTCATTCTCACGCGCCGAGGTGGTGGCTGGCTGGCACCTCTTCCCTACCGTGAGGATCGCTGCCCGTGGCCTAAAAAATGTGAAGAACGAGATGAAAAAACGCAGGAAAACGACAACAGTGAAAGACACTGGAAAGCGTCTTAAGTCCTACCACATCAAGACCACGGCTCTGTGGCTGTGTCAGGACCTGCCCAGGGAGAGCTGGAGAAGCGCCACCACGGCGATGCACCTGATTCTGGACAAACTGGAGAAGGCACTCACAGATGGCACGCTGCACTGCTTCTTCTGGACGAAAATCAACCTCTTCGCAGAGTACACCGCTGATGACCTGTGCGCTACGCAGCGTGAAGTCAAGAGGATGAGGAAGCGCATGCTGGCTGCGTTGCTAGCGTGGCACGACACCTGCTTCGATCTACAGCCGTGGTACGCTCATTACCAGCAAAAGATGGCGCCAGATAGGGCCTCGGGCAGCGAGGAAACTACGTCCAACGATCAGCAGATCTCGGACCGCTCGCTGCAGCTGTTTGCAGCTCGGTACATTACTATGTATGCAGTTCTGGAAATCATCAAACATCGGCACCAGGGCGTCTCTGGTGTGGAAAACTGCTCCGACCTGCCGGACTTGATCCGGACAGAGCTGTTACGGTCTCGGCTCGGTCGGCGATACCACCAAGGCCGGATATTTGTGCAGGCGATGCTGGCGGCCCCTGACGACCTGGTGGGCAGTGCGCGGCTGGTAGCCCACGGTGGAGACGTCTACACCTGGGACGTGGCGCCGCTGCTGGCGCTGCTCGAAGACTCAGACATGCAGCTGCTGCTGGGAGAACCCGATGCGGTGGCGAGCTGGTGGCGACAACAGCTGCGGCTGCCGCGAGCGGAGCAACCGGAGGGCATGACCGCTGACCTGGACACGCCGCAGGGCAGGAAGGAGCTGCTGCTCAATGTAAACCTCCTGCTGCGAGCCTGCGAAGAGTCCCAAACTCTGCTGACGCGGCGCTATTGCCCGCCGGGGAGCCCAGAGCTCCACTGTGGGTGCCGTGAGACCGACCAGCACGCTCTCGAGGAGCAGCGTCCAGGGCCGGCTGTGCCTCCTCCCACTGCGCGGAGCTCTGGGGGCTCGGCAGCGGATGAGCCGAGACGTAGGACGAGAGATGCTCCCGGAACACGGCGTGCGAGAAAGCCAATCTGGGAAAAAGACAAGCGCGACTGGGATCGTATGTTCGGGGATAACAGCTGGTACTGGCAGTCCTACGAGGAAATTCGCCAGGAGCTGGAGAGCGACTTTGGCTCCTACCTCTACGGCCGGCTGAAGCGGTGCGCTGTTTTCCGCGGGTCTCCGTGCGCCACTGCTACCGCTGAGCTCTGGAGACAGGCCATCGGTCGGATGCTGTCGGGTTCTGAGCTGCGCACCAAGTACGACGCCATCACTGGCGCCCTGCCGGACAGGTGGCAGCTCAGACAGTACGTCTTCGACGACTGCTGAAGGAGACAAACTCACGAGACACCTATGGAAAGCTGGCTTTCAGTATAAACGATGCGTGTGTACCTTTAGGTGGGCAGTGAGCTACCCGTCGCTGTGCGCTTTGAACTATGGATAGTCAATGCTTGTTCAGCCTGTGATTGTCATCTGGTTATTTTCTACAGGATGTCCGTAAAGTCCTGGCGCATTTTTTTGAAGTACCGTCTAACGTGCGCTGTGTTTAGTGGACAACCAACCAACCAACCAACGTGGGCATGATCCAACGTTGATCGATTAACGAGGGTCGTGCAAATATAGCCTTAAAATTGTGTACAGTGGTAGGCGAAGATTCGCCTTATCGCTGGATACCTGCGAGCACCGGTCGGTGTGAGGCTTGATTAAGGCGCGAGCTGCCGAGCACGATGTGGTGTTTCATGGAAAGGTTAAAGTGACCATCCCACCTAAACATTAGTTTTGAGATTGGAGTCCATGGCCTACTTCTGCAATTACCGGTTTGGGCACTCACAACATCGGGAAATGTTTTAACCGTCACACTTGTAGGGGGCGGGGTCGGATGGACCTCATCGGTTTTTCGCGAATAACTCGCGCAAGAAGCGGCCGATCGCGACGAATTTTTAGTACCCTAGAGTTGATCAATTTGACACCTACCCTGAAAAATTCATCACCCTGACCCAAATCATCCTTGACCTGTGACCTATTTCTCGAGACCGTGTTTGGCCGAAATCGCGAATCGGCGTATGTCGACTCATAGCCGTTTCCACGACGGCCATCTGATACACATTTGGTGAACATCTGGTGCAGATTAGGTGCAGATTTGGTGAAATTAGGTTCAGTGTGTCTCTCAGTTAGTAGCTATCAGCTAGGGTTGCACTAATGGCTTATATGCCTGCTTTGTCATATTATCAGAGAGTATCATACATTAAAACACTGAAATAAATTAACCCGCGCACCGACGGGGGGGCGGATATCCGCCCCCCTGAGGTTTTTCGCAAATAGCGGGAAAACCGCGGCGCGTAGCGCCGCGAAATTTGGTACGACTATTCCCTCATCAATTTTACACATGGTGTGCAAGTTTGAACCTCCTATCTTTTAAGGTCAGGTCACCAGGTCACTTTGAATGACCCAACCTCAAGTCACTTTTTTGCAACTTTGTCACCGTGCCAGAGCTACAGTAGATGTCGGAGGCCTTTGAAAGTCGCAAGATGTTATTAGGTCATTAGTAGCTACCATTTGTTTATCTCGGAATTTTGATATCGGTGACCTAAGGTCAGGTCAATTTCGCGACCTCCCCATTATAAGTCAATGGGGGAAAAATCAACTCCCTATTTTTACCACTAAAACGGGTCGGAATGGCCCCATATACCATACATGACTTCATATACGATCAACCTTCACTACCTTGAGGTCCGTTTTGCTGTTGGGCAGCTGTGAGGTCATGTGACGTCATCAAAGGTTACCAAAGGTTTTGGCCAATAACTCCGTACAGGAACAAGATACAGCCGCGTGGATGGTCTCATTGTGTTCAGCTCGTCAAGACGCATCGAATGATATACATGATGACCTCGAGGTCACGTGACCTGAGGTCAACCTTTGACCTTGACCTTTCGAGGTTAACATATATATCATTCGATGCGGATTGACGAGAGGATCACGATGATGCCCTTAGTAGTTTGTTCCTATCTTGACTACTTCGAAAGTTATTCGAGAAAAACTCTCTCCATATCTAGCGCCGCCATTTTGACTTTTTCGACCCCTGTGACGTCATCTTTGACCTGACCTGAAAATGACCTTTGTAAAAATTGTAGATCTTGACCGTGCGTATCCGATGCCGTTTACCGCTTGTCGCTATCTTGCTTCGTTCTCGAGATCTCAGGGGGGGCGGTCATCCGCCCCCCCCCCGTCGGTGCGAAGTTGGCGCAGACCCCCGTCGGTGCGCGGGTTAATAAAATAAAGATATTTGCTGTAAAAGAGATTAGGTGTAGATTTGGTCAAATTAGGTGCACTCGCCATATAGCCTGTACTGAACATTTCGTGGCGCCGCCGCCAAATTTTCAGTACCTTCCCGGGCATCAATTTGACACATTCACACAAAATTGCAAGTCTTAGGTCACCTTAGGTCAGGAGTTATTGAGGTTAAACTGAGGTCATGTTCGAGCAACAATGAGCAAAAAATATGAAATCCTGAAACGCTCACAAAAGCTACAGTTACCAAGCAATTTCAAAATTCTTTATATGGTCATGTAGACAAAAAACGGCGCTACAAACTGCTATCCCGGGTTTTCAAAATTTTGGGATATTGACCCCAGAAAAAAATCAAAACAATTATTTTTTTTTGAAAAACGCAAAAAATCCCAAATTTTTTCCGAATTTCGAAAAAAATGGAATACATGTGTTAGTCCCTTCCCTCTTCTATACACATACCAAATTTTACATCGATACCTCCTTTTTTGGCCAAGTTATAACGAAAAAAAAACTGTTCAAAATTGATGACATCAAGTTTTTGAACTCAATTTTTAGCCATACTAGACCACATGGCGCAAAACAAAGACTACTATTGAACTCCTCGTGATAAGCTGCATCGAATCAATACCATTTTTTTCAAAAATATCAACTTTGAAATTTGACCTAATTTGACCTCACCTTAACCTGACCTTGACCTGACTTTGAAGTAACCTTCACCAGAAAATAGTTTAAACTGACCCCAAAGACTGCCTGACCCACATAATCGCATTTGGCATATAAAATGGACCATAAAACATGCATCACATGATATTTTCATATTATGACCCTCTGTGACCTGACCTCAGTGACCTGACCTGGTATCAGTGACCTCAAATAGCAAAATATGTGTTTGACGAACATTTCCCCATCGATGATTTTCAATGAAATGCATTTTACTCGATTTTACAACGCATTTCTTGAAATGAAACGGTGAAAATTCGACATTTGACCTGACCTGTGACGTCATCGGTTTGACCTAGGTCAATGAAATTGGGTCACAAGGTAGTTCCCTGCTAAGGCTATCCAACACCGCTTGCCGCTTGTCGCTAGGTTGCGTGGTTCTCGAGATCTTAGGGGGGGGCCTAGGTCAAGCAACGCGTCCCCCCAGCAGGGCGCGTTGCTCGGCAGACCCCAACGGGCGCGGGATAACCGTATCACTTATCATTGCAACCAATCCGCACCGTCTTCCTGCTTTGGATGCGTTAAACACTGTTTTCAATTTTGAATTTTGAAAATGATTGAAGTCAGTTGCATTGGAAGAGTAAAGATGTAAAGAAGCCGCTACGAAAATTGGTGTGAAAAACCCACACCAAATTGAAAGTTAGTGTGTAACTCAAAAGTTAAAGGAGATCCCTGCGGTCCAGCAGTCTTCTCGTTAGCTATTGACACTGCAGCCAGAGAAGTGAAATCGGCCTTCAATATGTGGTATTTAGACGATGGATCTATCGGTGGGGACATCGATACCGTCTGCCGTGACCTAGAACGGTTGATTCCAGCACTATCAGCTAGAGGACTTGTTGTCAACCCTACAAAATGCGAGATCATCCTGCCACGGTGCTGTAGTGAGCACCAAACGCGGTCTATTATAGAGCGTCTGCACACATTTATCCCTGGGGCTGCCTTAGTAAAAGACATTGAAGCCAGGATGCTTGGAGCGCCAATGATGGATGCGGCTGCCGAGAAAGTAATGGCGGAGAAGAAAAATGACCTGGAGCGGATGGTGGACCGGCTACAGCACATAGATGCGCACTCGGCCTTCTATCTTCTGAGAAATTGTCTGTGGATCCCGAAACTCCAGTATATCCTTCGAGCAGCCCCTGTGTACAGGCGACTAGATCTCCTGCAACCTCTGGACGAGACGCTCCGCGCTGCAGTTTGTAGCATTACTAACGTCGCCTTTAGCCAGGACAGTTGGACACAGGCAGTTTTACCGACTAGATATGGCGGACTAGGCATCAGACGCACGCAAGACCTTGCACTTCCAAGCTACGTAACATCCCTTCACCATTGTATGCAGCTGCTGATGTCGATGCTGCCCGGATCGCTACGCGCCAGACTGTCGGCGGAACAAGAAGTTACCTTGACGGACTGGAGGATGGCGGCTGAGCCAGCGGAACCTCCAACAGGTGACGCTGCACGAAGTCAGCGTGCATGGGACAGCGTACTAGCCGACAAAGTGCGAAGCAGCCTACTGGCCACCGCTACCCAGGTAGAGCAAGCCCGTCTTTTCGCAGCAGGGACGGTGGAGAGCGGAGCATGGTTGCACGCCTTGCCCTCAGCCAGCCTGGGCACGCTGCTGGACCCTCCCACCCTTAGAGTCGCCGTTGCTTTGCGCGTCGGAGCTGAAGTCTGCCAGCCACATAGGTGTCGTTGTGGCTCCCTGGCCGACAGTTTGGGACACCATGCGCTGACCTGCCGTCTGAGCGCGGGACGTCATCCCCGCCACACCGCGCTCAATGACGTGATTAAGCGTGCCCTGCAGACTGTCGGCTTGCCATCTCTTCTTGAGCCCACCGGCATCGATCGTGGTGATCAGGGTTGCCAGATCCAGAATGGTCATTATCGCCAAATTCGCCCCTCGAATTTCGCCAAAATTCGCCAAATAGGATGCACTGTATAAGCATACGTAGCAGCGCAAGTTGGCGTTCGTGTAACCGTGTTCACGATTCGTTTCCAAGTTTACGATTTACCTATCTCGTTTCCCATATTCATCTACATAACAGCGTACCTTAACCAGCGCCAAATAAAATAGCAAAGGTCGCCAAGCAACCGTTCCCGCCATTCCCGCAACACGCCACAAAGTTGTTTACAAGTAAGCAGAAGATATTTTCATCAGAAACATTTTTATATTTGAGTGCCTTATATGAAACGTTGGAAGGTTAAATTAATCAGCTTACGAAATATTTCGTAACGATGTTTTTTGCTTTGTTTTGTTTACTTTTAAGATAATATTTGGTGATTTGGAGGTGAACTCTGGAAATTCGCCAATATTTGACGTTTTATCGCCTATCGCCAAACGCCGTGCTCCTATCGCCAATGACTTTCAAAATTCGCCAAATTGGCGACATATCGCCAAGTCTGGCAACCCTGGTGGTGATGGGAAACGGCCGGACGGCTTGACGCTTTTCCCATTTACTGAGGGAAAATCGCTCGTGTGGGATGCCACTTGCGTCAACACCTACGCGGCTTCCCATCTGCCGGCCACCGCCGCTGCTGCCGGCGCTGCAGCCAGGGACGCTGAGGAGAGAAAGATGCGCAAGTACTCGGGACTGGCTGATCGGTTTCAAATTCAGCCTGTGGCAATTGAAACTAGTGGCGTCTACGGCCCGGCAACAAGCCGCTTCATAAGCCTTTTAGGTGGCCGTTTAGTCAGCGTGACCGGCGACGCGCGTGAATCGTCCTGGCTGCGACAAAGACTAGCGCTGGCTGTAGTCCGTGGCAATGCAGCGAGTGTCCTCCATTCGCCATTTAGCTCTGGTCCCCTGAAGCAGGCAACAGGCGAAACGCACCTCACTGATCCGGCAGAGCGCCACCAGCTCCACGTTGACCCTGAGTGGGCTACCACACCGGATAACACCGCTAGCCGGTCAGCACCCCTCTCAGAGTCACAGGTCGGCGAGAACATAGAGTTATGCTACACCACCACCAGTCCACACCAGTCCAACAGTCACTCTCCACCACCTCCATCAGATGACATCCCTAGTATATCCGCTCGTTTGGCACGTTATCGTGAACTGTTCAGTCGAATGAAACAAGAATTCACGGAGCAAAGACTCGAGAACATGACTAGCCGCGACGTTATGGCCGATCCGGAGCTAGCCTACTACTTAACGCGAAAAGCAAAGGATCGAGCCGTGGACGCAGCAAGTCCAGAGGTTCCAAGAAGGTCGCTAACACCGTGTTGAAGAAACGCCGCGTTGTGAACAAGAAGTCGTGCTAAATGTTCCATCTCTCGTAACAATCATACGCCAGTTTTGGAATTTTGTTGTGCTTTTCACCTGCATAGCCTGAAATAAAATTGTAACGGATACTCAAAAGTTACGCTCGCGTATGGGTTTGCACGCATGAGCAGCAGAATTCTAGCCCTCGCCGGCACAGCGGGGGGTTGATGCAACCCCCTTTAAGGTTTTTCGCGAATAACTCACGTAAAAAGCGGCCGATCGCGACAACACTTTCAGTACCCTCGCATTGATCAATTTTACACCTACCCTGAAAATTTGATGACCCTGACCTAAATGACCTTTGACGTGTGACCTCTTTTCCGAGACCATGTTTGGCCGGAATCGCGATTCGGCGTATGTCGGCTCGCATTAGCCGCGCGTTTGCAAGCTTTTCGTGGTTTCAAACGTTCAAACATTTGATTTGATGTTGCTCCCATGCATTAGGGTGGGTGTCAAGGTCACCTGAATTTCAGCTCAGGTCATTGACCTTTGGTGACCTCGGTTCACTTTTTCGAGTTTTACATGTTTCTATGCTAGTTTTTGGAGCTGAAGTCGAGTTTAGCAACCATTTGAACATTTGCGAAGTAGTTTTGGTGCCTTCGTAAGTCGTAACATGTTACGAAGCTATCAGAGGCGGATGACAGGTACTACGAATACCCGTCAGGACCCCTACCGGCTGACCTGACCTGACCTGACCCGGCCTGGTCTAAACGCTTAATGACATTATCTCTGATCAAAACTAACACGATATTCGTGATCAGCACAGCACCCCGGAAAACCACATAGCAGCCACACTTACGACTTTCTAACAGGTCCCGATTTTCCCGGTTTTCGGGTCATTGACCTGACCTGGAAGGTCACCCGATGACCTAGGACCTTAAACTTGGGTAGTATTGGCTTCCTCTCGTGACAGGCAGCACGCTCGTTTTTTCAGCGAAGCTCTAGCTCCATCAGGGGCCAAACGCGAGGGGGGGGGGGGTCGTTTGCTGCATGACTCAGGGGTGGGCTTCGTAAATGTACACACAGTCGGCACACCGTTCAAAGGTATGTACCATTGATAGCGCTGTATTTGGTGCGTCTGATTAGGGTCATATGACCCAGCAGGAGCAGCGCCTCAGCGGTCCGTCTGACGGCAACAGAAACATACACATATCATTGGTTTATTATACATATAACTACGTGCATACGGTATATCACATTATTTTTGTCGAAACTGGTTTCTGGGCATTCAAAAAAAAAAACAGTTCGGCACTCAATCGAAAGAAACAGCGAACTAAGTACAGCTGGTTTAGCTCATGAAATTAAGGGGGGACATTTGAGGCATTCGTCCCTCACACAACGTCTGAAACTGCCAACATTTTGTCATTTTCCATTCATGAGACATGAAATCATGTTTCGAAACTTCTGCCAGATCAAAAATTGCTTACAGCGCATGACAAAGGAAGACAGGAGGAGTTTGAGAGCTAAGCATCGCCGGAAATCAGGGGTCCCCAATCCCAGAGTTTCCCGACCCATTTTATAGATCCACCAGTTTGTCAGCCTGGCTGTTTTGCTGTAACTACAATGTATACTATAACGTCATGTTCCCAGAGCTGCAAGCCACTCTTTTTTTGACAAGCATACGCGTATATGATGGCCAGATTTACCTTTGTTTTCACCTAACAAGAAAACGAAAGAGTAGTGGCAGCAGAACATATATTACAAAGCAAAGTATACAATTACAAAGTCAGTCACGCATGGTGGGTACTGGGTATGTACAAATAACAAGAAGAATAACACTATTGAAACCTGCCGCTATGTGATAGGCGGCGCATAGATTAGCATGAATAAGCTCGATTCATTCTTGGCTTGGATTCGCGTTTAGAGTTGCATGATCTTTCCTGAGGCAACAGCCAACAGGGATGTCTCTTAGAATCACGTGAGTGCTAGGTCTAGGTGCTGCAATTTAGCTATGTCCACGCTTTTTATGTGCTCAATCTTTCCAGCATTTTTAGTGATTATATTCTTTGACTCCCTGATAAGCTGTGTATTGAAATGCTCGTGAATTGTCGCCTTGAACAAGTTGAAAATCAAAACTGAAAATGTCGATTTTTGCTCGTTATTGTTCGAATCGAAAATCCTAACTAAATCGCCTTCGGTTATGCATAAAAAGCGAAGTAGTTAAACGCACAAGGGATGATCACGTGAGATCTCATATGACGGATAATGTGCATTGTACATACGTACATACAATAATTAGGTAGGTAAACAGCGTCGTAGCGCACTAGATGTGCGTCATTTAGCAGAGCTCACGAGTGTCGAGTTCATTATTTGTGCACAGTAACTAGCTGCACTAACATTCATCGTAACTTTTTCAACGAACTCTGTCCTACAACAGAATTACACATGAATGCTCGTTAACAAGACTCCGACCATGCTGGTTTGCTGCAGCGAGTCTCGGAAAGAAACGACGTGAAGTTCATACATATTGTTAACATGCACTTCTAACTAAGTGCACACGTATCAAGTGCTTTCCGGATGATACACCGATAATCATTGCTATTATCCAATGACCCACAACCGATAGATATGAGTGAAGTACTGTACCTGCAATTGCTCTCTTGCCTATGGTCAACGTGCAAGTGCATTAACATCGAACAATACAGGTGAGTACGATGCACTCCCCCCCCCCTCTCTCTCTCTCTCTCTCTCTCTCTCTCTCTCTCTCTCTCTCTGTCTCTCTCTCTCTCTCCCTCTCTCATCACCGTCTACAGTCCACAATAAAACACCTTCAAGGCACATTAAGTAACACAGACCACGGAGAAGAGTTTCCACCAGTGGCATGGTCGAAAACCATCGAAGCTCAGCAAAAAGCTCTTTCACAGGCACTGGTGAATTCAAAGGGACATTTGTGACATCCTTCCTATACCGTCCGATATTTGAGAAAAAATCGCATTTCTTATCGCACAGAAAAAAAGCTTGCTAGTGGGGAAGGTTGGATGAAAATTGCTCAGTAACACATAGCCTCCGATGAGTGTTTGGAAATAAGTGAACTTTTTTGAGAGTATGTCCTTGCTACCGCCGCTCCGGACCCGACGGCGTTCATAGCTCGTCATCCGAAGAGTGCAGCAGCTGGGTGGTATCGGCGCCGTTCCGGGGCCGCTCGCCGTGCTTCGGTCGTGGAGTTCGCGAGCGCAGGCCGAGGCCGTGTTTCCAGCGCAGGAACACGCCGATGGCGGCGATAGTCGTCAGCACTCCGACCCAGTGCAGCACGAACACCACCGTCGCCAGTTTCCGCTGCAGGGAACGAGGGTATGCTGTTGAGGCGCTTCGTGATTTTGATGACATTTTCTGATTGTCCAGAGATGATAGAAAGATGATAGATGATAGTACCGTAGCTTACACTGGCGGATCCAGGCTTGCGTTTTGGGGGGGGGGGGCCAACTCATGCAGGAGCCAAACCTAGGGTACCCCGAAATCCTGTTTTCTCATCGGATTTAGGCCACTTATTTTTCGTCACAGCCCTGACACTATGAATTTTTTTTTAACTAAAAAGAAAAATATATAAATGGTAGCCCACCCGACCCATGCCTTTATATTACTTTGTAAACACTTACCATTGTTTTTATCGACCAGTTAAAGGGACCCTCCCACCTTAACATTAGATTTGAGCTGAGATAGCTAAAATGGGGTCCCTGGCTCACAATTACCGGTTTCGGCACGCACTCACAACATCGAGAAATGCCTTAAATCGGAAATATTGAATTTCAAAATTGCAGCATTTTGATTCAGAGGGGCTAATGCTTTTGGATACCCCTCTGAATGTGTGACGTCAGCGGAGATCTAATGATTTTTTAATATTTTACTAAAACGTTTGGTAGCATGCGGTGGTATAGGCTGCTTTGCGCGCAACAAATGCTGCACTTTCAAATAAAGTCGCTAGGAACAGCAGCGGATATCCCAAAAAGTAAACAAAAATAAAAGTCTAATCTCTTGAAAACCGGTGAATATTTTTCGATAAAATTTGGTAGATATTCGTTTTCGCCCTTTCTGAACCTAGCGACATCACTTTCATGCCAATTCATTAACTTTTTTGAAGGTGGGAGGGTCTCTTTAACCCGCTTCGAGTCAGTGCTTGGGTCCCTTTGCAGGCCGGGAGGTGGCAAAACAGCCCTGTCTAACTCGGCTCCTGGGCCACGCCCTGATTGAACTATGTTTCATTATCGTTTGGGGAGGGGGAAAACGGGCCACTTTAGGCCTCTGGGAAGGAGGCATGGCCCTAAATGCCCCCTCCCTGGATCCGCCAGTGTAAGAAGAGACCATTGGAGCTGCAGTTGGGTACCTCAGACATCAGGGTACGCCCTCAGATGTATGCATAGGACTCGCATGGAGACCTCTTATGCTATAGTGTACTGAAAGGACCCAAAGGAGCCTGTCTATATGGGCTCCCGGAGATAGACGTGGGCCCTCAGGAGCCCGCCAGAGCCCCAATGAGGGATAAGTGAGGGATACCAAGTGCCTGCAATTGCATATTGCATAAGCCATAACGCCTTTACAAATCAATATATTATGCATCAGTGGCAGATCCAAGGGGGGCCACATGGGTCATGACCCCCTTGGTGCCCGGGGGCACCACAGGCCTGTCAGGGGCACCACCGGCCTAGTAGGGGCACCATCAGCCCGCCAGGGGCACCACAGGCCTAGCAAGGGCACCACGGGCCTGTGAGGGGCCCCACAGGCTTGTCAGGGGCACCCCAGGTCTGTCAGGGACACCAGAGACCTGCCAGGGGCGCCGCCGGCCTCGCAGGGGCACCATGGGCCTGTCAGGGACACCAGAGGCCTAGCAGGGGTACCACAGGCCTTACAGGGGCACCACCGGCCTTGCAGGGGCACCTTGGGCCTGTCAGGGGCACCACAGTCCTGTCAGGGCCCAGGGGCACCAGCGGCCTAGCAGGGGCACCACAGGCCTGCCAGGGGCACCACCGGTCTAGCAGGGGCACCATGGGCCTGTCAGGGGCCCCACCGGCCTCGCAGGGGGCACCACCGGCCTCGCAGGCATCACGGCATCACGCAGGGGCACCTTGGGCCTGTCGGGGGCATCACGGGCCTGTTGGGGGCACTTTAGGCTTGTCAGGGGCACCACAGTCCTGTCAGGTCCCAGGGGCATCAGCAGCCTAGCAGGGGCACCCTAGGCCCGCCAGAGGTACAGCCCACCGCTAAAGTAATGTAGGGTTTTACCAAACTCAACGGTTGGCTTTGACTGGCGATTGTTTAATGCGAAGTGATTGAAAAGAAGATGTCAATAGCTAAAGTTGCAGCTGCAAGGGTGACGATACATATAAGCTACATTCAAAGTTTCATTGTAGTCTGGCTAATCGTTCCTAAGCTTCAGAAGCACAGGCCTAAGCACAGGCCTAGCAAGGGCACCACGGGCCTGTCAGGGGCACCTCAGGCTCCCGTGCCCCCCCCCCCCCTCCCCCCCAGATCCGCCAGTGATGCCACACCACACGAAACACCGCCAACGTCTTTTTTTTAAGGTCGACTCCGCTCGCGCAACTTTTGACTGACCCTCACTGCTACTATATTGCTTCCATATTATGCTGTGGAAAGCTTTACTTCACCAAGTGGCTAAAAACCTCCATCAAGGTATATTTTCTTAGCAATTTTTCTGGCGTTTTGGGGGGGGGGGGCCAAACAGGCCACTTTAGGCCTTTGGGGGGGGGGGCCATGGCCCCCGTGGCCCCCCCTGGATCCGCCAGTGGTAGCTTATCATTTACGTTGCTTATCATGAACGTGTGGGAAGGTGTCGTTTTCACGCCCCTATCTGTGAGTCTTATTACGCAAATAGACTCCATCCTTTACCTCTGAGGTTATTTTATGTAAGTTCGGTAAAGCCGTGTTAGAGCAAAACAAGACCGTATCCAATGTAATTGCATCAAGCTAAACAACACGACCGACTTAAAAGCAGCAAACGTTTTCCGATCAGGTTATGACGCTAATCCTCGGTCAAAATTTTACAGGGAAAGCGTATGTTTTTATTTTACGCGTCTCCATGAAAGACGTACGATGCTGGTAATCTCACTGTTGCAATGAGCTTGAAATCCAAAGCCACTGCAGAACAAAATCCACAGCAAATCGCGATCTTAACGATTTTTTCCTTAGCTGAAGCCACACCGTCCACCCTACGTCACAACTGCTTCTGAGAACAGGCTAGCGAAAAATTATTACCAGTTACCGGAGCTATTGAGTTTTTCTCGCGAGTTTCCCGGGGTTCTACCTCTATTAGCTCATGTGGTTTGAGCTCCTCCCGTACCCACCTGTCTGTAGCTGTTGGCAGCCTCCCGTACCCACCTGTCTGTAGCTGTTGGGGTCGTAGTAATGTCCCGGCCAGCCACTGGGCGGGTACAACATGACGCCAACCTGCAGGAACCAGGTTCCCTGCAGCAGGAAAAAGAAGCACCTGCCCAAGGCGGGCAGCACGCGGTGCCTCCAGATCCCCTCCGCCGCAGCTGCCAGCGCCGTGGCCAGGACGACGTACAGCATTAGATGGTGGACCTGACAACGAAGCAGAGCATCAGATGGTGAGTTGGAAAATGACGCACAGATTCAAATCGTGTATCTGAAAACGATAGTGTTAGATGGGAAACCTGAAAACGACGAATAGTGCTAGCTGGAGGACCTGACAACGGCGTACGGCAGTAGGTAACGAACCTGAGGGCCACCTAGCAGCAGTTTCAGCTCTGAGGAACCACCTCCCAGACACCTACCAGCATCTCCAGCTCCTCCCAGCCACCTACCAGCGTCTCCAGCTCCTCCCAGCCACCTACCAGCATCTCCAGCTATCCCCAGACACCTACCAGCATCTCCAGCTCCTCCCAGCCACCTACCAGCATCTCCAGCTCCTCCCAGCCACCTACCAGCATCTCCAGCTCCTCCCAGCCACCTACCAGCATCTCCAGCTATCCCCAGCCACCTACCAGCATCTCCAGCTATCCCCAGCCACCTACCAGCATCTCCAGCTCCTCCCAGCCACCTACCAGCATCTCCATCTATCCCCAGCCACCTACCAGCATCTCCATCTATCCCCAGCCACCTACCAGCATCTCCAGCTCCTCCCAGCCACCTACCAGCATCTCCAGCTCCTCCCAGCCACCTACCAGCATCTCCATCTATACCCAGCCACCTACCAGCATCTCCAGCTCGGAGGAGCCGTGTCCGTGGAACGCGAAGAGCAGCGCCTCGGCGGCCAGTGCCATCACCGCCAGGACGTACTCCAGGCCGGGGAGCAGCTCGTAGCCGGTGACGCGCGCTGCCTCTGCGGCGCTGCTGATGGCGAACATGAAGTACATGACGGCGTGCTGGCCGTTACCCATCTCCACCAGACGGTCCCCGCGCCAGCCCGTCACGATCTCGCCTGGGGAGGGAAGGGGTGCTGATATAGGTAGCGGAGGCTGAGCCTTTTCCATGGTTACGTGAGGAGAAATCCTCGAGGCACCACAGACTGAACAGATGCATTGCTATCGCATTATATTCTTTATTCAAAACGCAATTAATGCAAAACCTCGATTGAAGTACTTTCGTTACGAAAAAAGGTATGGTCAAATTATGAATGCGTTGCGTATCCCTTTAGATGTTTCCTTCCGCATCCATCCTGTCACCCGCATTGCTATCCAAATCGCAACATTATGACATTGGGCTGCAGAGTCTAAGCGAAACCAGGAGGGAGTGGCAGCGACTAGAGCGGTGAAGAAGCAGCGACTGTGGATGCCGCCCTTCTGACCTGCGATGGCGGCGATGGCGCACATGATGACGACGATGCTCTCCCAGGGGACCCTCGAGCCGCGCCTCAGTGGGAAGGACATGGTGGAGTGGAAGCGTCCGCGGCTCTTCAGCGCCGCGAAGTAGCGGCTCCAGATGTTGAACGTCCACCAGAGCCCGCCGATGAGGAAGATGGAGCCCGGGACGACGTGGCCCATCAGCGTGCCCATGATGGCAGCGGTGCTGGAGGCGCGACTGGACCTCTGTGGGGGACATGGTGAGAAGGCGATTGAAGGCTTGGTTGTAACTCGTGACGAGACGGTTACTTGGAACTGAACTTAATCCTCGCACTTATCGTCAAACGTACATCCCCCATTAGGTTTTTCGCGAATAACTCGCGCAAAAAAAAACGGCCGATCACGACGAAACTTCCAGTACCCTCGAGTTGTTCAATTTTACACATACACTTTACATTTTGTGACCCTGACCCAGATGACCTTTGACCTGTGACCTATTTTTCGAGACCATGTTTGGCCGGAATCGCGATTCGGCATATGTCAGCTCATATTATCCGCGCGTCTTTTTGTGTTTTTAAACGTTCAAACATGTGATATGATGTTGGTCCCATGCATTATGGTGGGTGTGAAGGTCACGTGAAGCTCAGGTCAGGTCATTGACCTTCGATGACCTTGGCTCACTTTTCGAGTTGTACATGTTTCTAGGGTAGTTTTTGGAGCTGATTTCGAATTTAGCATCCTTCGAACATTTACGAATTAGATTTAGTGCCTTCCTAACGTATTACGACGCCGTTAGTGGAAGTTGACACCTATTATGGTAGCCGGCGGGACGCCTACTAATTGACCTGACCCGATTTGGCCTAAATCCATGAATAGGTATATCATCTGTGATCAAAACTAACATGAAATTCATGATCAGAACCCCGAAAAAAAACCTACAACAGCTTCAGTTTACGAAGTTCTAGCAGGTCCCGATATTCCCGAATTTCCGGTCATTGACCTGAACTTGAAGGTCAACCAATGACCTAGAACCCCAAAATTGATAAAATCGGCTTCCTCTCGTCACGGGCAGCAAACCCTTTTTTTCTTCGCCAAGCTCTAGCTTGATCTGGGGCCGAACGGCAGAGGGGGAGGCTTACCGACCCCCCCCCCCTCCCCATACGCATTAGACGCTGTAAAACGCCGCACACAGGCGAGGGTTAAACCTCTTTAGTTACATGACGGGAAGTGTGGCATAGCTGGAAAAAGTAGGCATAAAATAACGACTGTATGTATATATCAGAATTTGATCATACAGGTAAGCGAAGGCGATGAACTGTTGAATTGTTGAATTAAAACGGCAACAGTCAGCCGTGCCCCGGTGCCGTCATCACCTTTTGAACCTTTTTTTAGTAGGACTCTTGAACCAATTTAGCTGCTTTTTTTCCTTTTTGATACCCAACGCCGAGGGGCTGAGCCCAACATTAAAAAAAAAACAATTTGACGGGACATAGAGCCTCGTCGAATTCTGGCCCATACCGAGCCTGGGTATATAAACGTCAAACGACCGCAACGCTGTTCATTCGCTGATCGTGTTGAACTTTTGACCTCTCTAATCTCAAGAACAGAGTTGTATCATATGAGCGTTCATATCAGAGGAGTAAGAGTGCACAACGCTCATATGAGCGGAGACGCTATCTGCCGTACCATCCAACACTGATCTGGAAAGTCATATTTAGGGCAAGCTCAATTTATAGGGCAAGATTATTGGACGCTAAGATGAATAACTCGGTTTATGGAATGCAATCTCACAACTCTTAAGTGCTTTTACACTCTCAGCATTGAACACGCATACCTCATTAATATCAACCGAAAACTTACCAAAGGCAGCTCAGTGTGAAGCTCCAAGAGACCTGGCTAATTCACCTATGTAGCTGATGGTCGCGCACAGGTGCCGTTACAGCGTTTCCGCGGGCTCCCTGCGTCTGACCCGGTCTCAACACTCCCGCACCCCGGGCCGACCGCCACCACACAGCGTCACTGTCCGTGTGTCCCGGGGGCACGCTGTCCATGTCCAATGCTCGACGAAGCCGGCGATAGTAGCGATAGCGACCGACGATAGTAACGATAGCGACCGACGATAGTAGAGCGGCCAGATTAGCCGACCGACGACTGTAGAGTGGCCGGACTCGTCACATGGGCCCAATCTTACCAATGCCGTGAATAGGATTTGGCAGCACTGGCCGAAGTTTATGGCACTGATGTCAATGATATCCCTTTTATTTACACCCAGCTAATCTTATCCAATGATTTTCATAGCGAGAATGATTATGAATGTTACCCGAACGAATGAATAAATGAATGTTGAATAGTTTTGAATGTTACCAAATGCCGTGAATACGCATTCACGGCATTTGGTAAGATTGGGCCCTGGAGTCGGTTTGCCCGACGAGTGAGTGAGCTCATGAACAAGCCCCGTTTTCGAGTTCTGCACAGATTTGTCAAAACGTGTTGAAGTATACAAAGTTTTACTTTGAATGACCCCTGACGGCCTAACCTTTGGCCTGAATTGGCTGAAATAGGTACCTACTTCCTTCATGATTTTTTACACTTTTCGAACGCTGCCTACCGTGAGTCGCTGACGTGCAGTCACTGGCCAAGGAGCAGTTAGACAGACGGGTGCTGACCGCCCTACTCCTCACCCCTCCCCTCCACAGCCCACAGCCCCGCGCGGGATAAAATACCCTTACAACTGATTCAGAAGCGTGTAACGCGTCGTGTTGTTGCTCAATGTCTAGTGTCTATGCAATATGCATGTGTTCAAGCAGGGAAACGGGAGCTATTTCAAAGCTTAAGGGCGAAGTTCGGTTTTCTACAGGGTGTCCCAGAATTACCCGAACATTGTTAATTAGCGTATAATATATATTATATAAGGCAAACACAATTGCGCTTTTTTCTTTTTATCGCCCAATATAGTCAACTAGGGTGGCTATGAAATGGCACATGCAATGGAAACGCTAATTACTTGATTAGCCAACAATGGTGGGAAAATGCCAGCCGATCTTGGTTCCAGCTGTTTTGCGGATCTCCCGAACTTGGTTGAAGGCCAGTTTTCTTAGGCCTCTTGCCGGAGGATAATACGATCATTTTCGATTAAATTTAAATCATTGATCATAGTGTTCTTAGGCCATAACGCATTCATCCCCTAAACAAAAATTTCTGCCCACACCACTGTTGCGTTGTTTTTGACGTCTGAAGTGGAGAAGCTCCATGCCTCAACATGGCGCGGCCTTTGGCTTCCAACAGATTGAGTTTCCAAAACAAACCCGTTCATGACCATTTGGTTCGCGACATCCAGTTGTTTTTTATAAATTCGGTGTGATTTTACGTCGGACGGCTGCCCTGCTTAGGCAGCTGGGACCGCGTTTGACGCACTTGCCGCCGCGCGAGCGCGCCGCCGTACGGCGCCCGAGCCGGATGATTTGTCCCCGTACCAAATAAACCGTGTCCCAGCTTTCTTTCTTTGAATGAGTGGTGAGTGAATAATGACCGGTGATTCAATTATATCGTTACACTCGGCACACCTGGACATGTGGCGTGCGAGGCGGAGTAGTGCTTCGCTACGCCGCCTCGCAGTGCACGAATTATTGTATGCCGTGCAGTTGCCTCCCATATACTCGTATAATATAGGTACAAACGCACTGTGTCGCATATATCTTGACATGTACTTATGCATATTCCAGTTTTTGTAACGCTAGAATATTACCGCAGTAGTGCCCTGTGTTACCGGTCGTAGTTGGAGCATCATGTGAAGCTGAATGAGTGCACCGTCAACCGTGGCTAAAAATGTCTCACAATTTGATTTTAACGGGTGCCTGGCCGTCTCCGCTGTTTGGGCGTTGCGTTGCCGCCACCTGACGTCCACACACGCCTTTTTCGGGCGGTTCAAAAGACAGAATACTTTACTTGGGCCACAAAGTGTGTTTCTATTTACATTTTTGTTGCATATGCTATGTTTTTTTTTTTGCTAAGTTGTAGCGATTTGCGCTGCTTTTCCGGTAGTTTTGGCATATTTTTTTCAGGCGAGGGACCCCCCGCGCCCCGCTGGGGGGGGCAGAATCTGCCCCCCTCCCGTTTTTCGCCAATAACTTCTAAACGCGTTACGCCAGCGACGTCAAACTTTCAGTACCTTATCATACATCAATTTGACACGTTCCCTGAAAATTTGAGCGAAATCCGTCGAATTTTTTTTTGAGAAATTGACGTTTTAGTGACGTCATGTTCGCCATTTTCGCCTCAAAAATGGCAAAATTTCAAACGCCGCTAACATCTTCATTTTTAAAGGAATCAAGACGTAACAAAAAAGGTTATACGTGATTCTACTTTGTCTATCAAATGGCTCTCGGTTTTTGAAAATTTTGAATTTTGGCCCAATTTTTTTTTTCTTCAAAAAACTGTTTTTTTTTTTGGAAAATATTTATAAAATCCAAAATTTTGAGTGTATCGAAAAAACCGGAATATATGTCAAAGAAGTGGTCTATGTGCACCTACATACCAATTTTTAGAAGAATCGGTTCAAAAATGTGGAAGTTATTCAAAATTTTATGACGTCACGACAGACAAAAATTTTGAAAAATGATTTTTTTTTTTGAAGTTCTAGACCTCGTACGGAAACAAAAATAGCACCATTTGATTCGCCGTGAAAAACTGCATCAGATAGACACCTTTTTAGGCCTTAACAACCAACTTCAAAATTTGACCTCACTTGACTTGACCTTGACCTGACCTCGACCTGAAATTCATCCAGAGGTCCATACCACTTATTGAGTGCGCCTGTTGAATTCTATGAGTAAAATGACCCATAAAACATGTGTCGCACATGCCCTTTTCTATATTTTGTTTTTGGTGACCTGACATGACCTGACCTGACCTTGACCTTGACCTTTGAATGACATTGTATGCAACTAATATTGTCTTGGTAGTCTAAGAACACGTTTTGGGCAATCAGTCTCAGTCCATTCTTCGGCAACTACGGTGCAAGGCCGATACTGTAGAAACTTGCATCTTGTACCCTTGACCTGACCTTGACCTGACCTCTGACCTACTTAAGCAAAAAATTTGGGCTCTTAAGATCCGCCTTGTTGAGAGCTTTCGATTGCCGTTTTCCTCGTCTTTCTACGACCATCAGTTCGGAAGTTAGACAGGGGGGGCAGAATCTGCCCCCCCCCCCCAGCAGGGCGCGTATGGCTGAACAGCCCAGCGGGGCGCGGGTTAATTCCAAAATTTTGTCAAAAATAGTGGTACAAAGAAGACTGATGTTTTGCAGCTAACCCTGATATTGTTTTTAACCAGATCGGTGACGCTTATTGTCCAATGGCAACCACCCACTTGACAGCTGGTGCATGGCCCTTTTTAGCCGCGCCCAGGCTTGTCGATCAGGCTACCTCTCGCTCTCTCTCTCTCTGGCTTGGCTCGCTGATATGACTGCGTTTTGCCCACTCCTACCTGCTCGCAGATGAGCCGCTGGAGCTCTCCACCAAGAACCATGCCGAAAGTCCGTTTACAAAGTTGAGAACGGCACTTGATTCATCATGGCTGCCTATTTCTGGCTAAAGCTAAAAACGGAAAGGGACTACCCTCATCTGGCTCTGGATAACAATTGACTCGAGTCGTGACCGGTCACTAAAAGCGCACAGCCTCCAAACTCGATACTCGATAGCTTTGAGATGTCTAAAAAAGTATGATGCTTGAATATCATTAGAATCGTGCACGATCGTGCTTTTAGCCAGAAAATAAATGTTCGGGTAATTCTGGGACACCCTGAACAGGCAGGAGGCCGAGGGGCAAATGGTACCCCGTCCCCGGCTTCCGCCATTTTCCCTTGTAACTGAGCTCAACATTACGAAAATGAGCGTGTGCGCCGTTATGAGACATAGCGACTACATAGTAGCCGTTTTTACGACGGCCATATGGTACACATTTGGTGCAAATTTGGTGCAGATTAGGTGCAGGTTTGGTCAAATTAGGTTCAGTGTGTCTCTTAGTACCTACCTAGTTATCAGTTAGGGTTGCACTAAATGCTTACACGCCTGCTTTGTCATATTATCAGAGAGTATCATCGAATTTACAACACTCAAATAAATTCATAAAATAAAGATATTTGCTGTAAAAGAGATTGGTGCAGATTTGGTCAAATAAAGTGCACTCGCCGGACAGCCCGTCGTGAAAAGGGCTATTGCTGACAGGGTTCATCTGCGCGATCTGAAGAATGTGTCACGGGCGCTGCTGTCCGCTGACTCGCCGCCGGCTATTAACCCACGAGCCGCTGGGGGGGGGGGCATAAAGTTGCCCCCCCTTTACGTTTTGTAAAATATCTCCGAAACCTGATGAGCTACGAACGTGAAACTTGGCATAGCTTCAAATGAATACCTAGGCAATGTTTGAGGAAAGTTTGGTGGTTGTAGCACCTAAGATGACGTCACAGTGACGTCATAAAGTTTTGTCGTTTTCCGATATGGACCGTTTCTGATGACGCTGAGCATGAAACTCGACTGTAAATGAACTAGACAGCACCTGCTGTCATCCTAAAACATCTTACTACACTTCCATCTAGTTTCTGACCAATAATCGGCCCTTTATATTCGGTCCCATATATGTGATGTATCGTGAGGAATATGAGAGTCGCAAATCTATAATTTCACTTATGACGTCACTGTGACGTCATTTCAAATGGGATCGACACCAAATTTGGACACAACCTCGGCTAGGTATTCAGGAAGATGTGTGCAAAGTTTCGCTTCTCTATCTCTTCGCGTTGCGACGATATCGTCGCAGAAGTAAAGGGGGGGGCAACTTTATGCCCCCCCCAGCGGCCGGCGGGTGGCGCGGAGGCCCAGCGGCCGCCGGGTTAACCCGCGAGTTGCTGGGGGGGGGGGGGCGTTAAACGCCCCCACTTTTTTTGCCGGGCCATAGCATAAAAACGGCGCGCCGCAGGCGCGCCAAATTTTGGGTACCTGTAGGGAATTGATTGAAGTTTATTGTGACAAAGTTTCAAAAAAATC